GGTCGTCTTTACTTCCTACCCCAAACCTGACCAGCACAGTGTGACTGTGAGCTTAAAAGCAGTGGCATATTGGATACCCATTTATATTCTCTTTATTGCTCCACAAAGATTTATGATTTTTCCTCCCAATTTCCCTCCGAGGCAGCATGACCATTCTGGAGACAAAGGGAGAAGCTGATTTGCCCAGGCTCTCCCGAATCACCTGATGTAAAATCCAGCTCCACAGTGCAGAGAGCCTCCCCCTTTGTCTCCTCTCACAAATTAGAAATCCTTTGGAGGATTCTCCTAAGTAGAAAGACTTAGGAGTTGGGGTTTTTTTCTGCCTTATGAGTATTTCCCAACTGTGTCTCCAAAGGCAAAGGCAAAAGACGAGCTCAAACAAAACAAACCAAAACACAACACAACTAAACAAAACAAAAAACAAAACACAAAACAAAACAAAGCAAAGCAAAACAAAATGCCAAGACAATGGAGTCGCTGGCAGAAAACCCCAGAAACTTATTCTGCAAATAGCTGTGCCACCGCAGCAGCACTCAGATGCGGCAGCTCTGACCCACATGGCACCCACGCCGATGCCGGCTGCCGTCCCACGCACCCCTCAGCTCTCACAACGGTTTCTCTTTTTTTTTTTTTCCCCTCTCCCTCTTTTCCCAGGGAAGCTGATCCGAAGGTATTACCTCTGTGTGAACCCTGGCATTACAGTCACTCTGGCTGTGTGCTGAACTGATCCAGAAGGGTACGATTATTCCTCAGTCTGCAACGCAAACGTCCTGAGAATTTTAATTGTCCTATAAAATATTTTGCTGGAAGTGGCAGCTAAACAAAGGTGTTGACACCATGGCTTGTCCTGTGGTATGTGAAATGTAAGAGCGCGCGGTGTCCTCAGTGTATTGTATTTATTTTCATCAATCAAAAGAGGCATTTTGTGCAAAACCAGCCTATCCTAAAAATGTTTCTCAAAAGAGCAATGATCTTTCAAATGGTATTAAAAAGTTTCTATTATTGATTTTTTACAATAATGACAATAGTAAAAAGATTTTAACTGTCCCCTTCATTTTTTCTATTGTTTTATTGACTCAGGATTTTCCATGAATGAAGGAAATAAATGAAAATTTCTCTTTTTGATGAAGTAATCGATAAATTACTGGTAAATTATTTTTAATAACAAACTTTAACTTTCTTACCTTCTAAGCTGGAAGTTCAGCTCTTTTCACTAAACGAACACAGAATAAAAAAAATCTCTCAAATTAAATAGGTTTGAATTTATATGCTCACTTAAAAACACCCATTATAGTTTACATGTAATCAATGAAGTGCTATTTAAAGAAGGGTTTATGCTCTAAGTAGTGTAAAGAAACGCACATATGCTAGGGGCTTCACCACAGGCCAAACCCCTTCAGCAAAGTGCTGTGCAAAGGGATAACACAAAAGCTGTCCCTGCCCCGAGAATATCACGAAACCCAATGTGCTGATGGGAAGGAAGGTAGGAGGGAACCAGCTACCAAGCTTCAGGGGATAAGCCAGGCAATGGGGCACATCATAGGACAGTTATGCCACTTTGGATTGATGAGCTTTGGGTGTTTTTGTGGGGTAAATCTTCTCCTGTTTTGTTTGCACACTCTCCAGAGAAGGTCTAGGCTTTTACTGTTTTCTAATACAGCAATACCATTTACTCCTTAGATGGGGCATACATCTTTAAACTGAAGCCCAGTATACACTAGGGTGCATTCCCATGCTCACTCCTCCTAATAACCCTAAAGCCAACCTGAGGAACAGAAAACCAAAAAGACGTCATCTGAGCTGGGAGCAGCTCCTCATACCGCAAGGCACTGTGTGGCTCTTGCTCTTGTAGGATGTGAGGCCCAAAACTTAAGAGGCAAATCCTGCCTTCACAGTGTGAAATGGTGGGTTCTTTTTCGGTGGAGTAAGAAACACGCTAAGAATCACAGAAGCATTTTCCTTAATCAAATTAATAGTTTCTGCAGAAAGGCAGGGCTGCTGGTCTACTTATTGACTTCTCCGGCATCGCTGCAGCAGATAATTTAATCCAGAGCATCTAACATGCTTTGAATCTGAAAATTCCTTCCACCGAGAAAGAATACACAGAAGTAATGGCACAAAGGAACTTTCTATACTGCTACTCCTCTTAGCGACTGGAAAGGCTTTTTCTTAAGCTTTTCTGAATCATGTTTCCTGTTGAAAAAAGCACTGAATTAGATAATGTTACCTAAAGGACTACTCCTGCCATTATCATATACAACACTATTTCACCAAGCAACAGAAAAGGAACAAAGAGAAGAACTTTTTTTTCCCCCCTGATCTTAAATGCAGCTTTTAAAATGTAATCATTTACAGCGGGAAAACATTTCTCCTCAAAGATGAAAGGCATTTCTGAAGGAGAAAGGAGCAAACTGTTCCCGTCAGTCCGCCAAAGGGATATATGAAACTGAGACTCTGCAAAGTGCCGGGACGAGCCGGGAACCTACCCGCAACGCTTCGGGGGCACAAAACCCAGATTTCATGAAGGAAAACCAGTCAATGGTTGTTAAAACACCATGTGGACTAATTAGTTTCACTTCTCCAATTTAGAAAGTTACAGTGGAAACAGATACAGAAGTACCACAGAGAGTTTTGTGGTAAAAAAGCAGCTGTGTAAAAGCAATTTACCTGTAAAAGGAAGCAAGAACAGAAATGCCCATTTTCCTACTCTTTCTCTTATTGTTCAAATAGCCAATACTATGCCTCATTCCTCCAAGTGAAGATTCTGTATCTGCTGTACTTGGGTAGAACAGCAAGGCTAGGAATACTGCCTATTATTTCTCAGTGGGAAGTATTGCTTTTTATGGAGCTTACTCCACACTGGCAAAAAAAAAAAAAAAAAGTGAATTTTTCCCTTCTTTCCAAAGAAAGCAAAAAATAATAAAGACATAGTCAAACAGTATACTCTGCTCAGTTAACTGGGGTTATGAATGCAGGACAAGCCACAAGTAGTTACCTGAACACAGAATCCAAATTATGGACGCACAGGAAAACTAAAATTTATGTATATCTACTCCAGTCCCACATACCTTTTCAAGGTGTGACATATACGGATTTCACATAGTCAAATAGCACACTGCCTTTGATCAGCAAGAATGGCCATTTTTTGCTTATATTCATAACATCCTATGTGGTATTTTGGGATGCCAATGAAAACAGAACTATTAGTTCTTGGCACAAAAGCTGGGGTCCATTTTCTGGCTCCTTTTTGAAATACATCAAATCTACATGGCTAATGTGTCTCTTGGAGAACAGCAGGGCACAATATTATCTACAGTTTCATGTAGCTTTCTACTAGATATGGTCAAACCATATTTCATAAAGCAAAGATACAAAACCCAAATGTCAATGCATGCTGTCCCATGTTGAAGAAATGACAATATTGCTTTCAGACTCTTGAAATCAACCCTCACTGAAAAAGGGCCATTACCTTTTTTGCGCCTTGTTCTTCTTCGACACCGTCCCCTATAACAACATACACTACTTTTCTTCCAAATCTTTGAATTATTCGCTCAAAACAACTTTCCTTTCCTGAAAGAAAAAGATCAGACTATTCAGGATAGGTGGTGATGGGATGACATCAAATAAATCACTTTTTAGCCCAGATCTCCCCAACACTTCGAATACATAATTAGAGCTACTGGGAGAGAAGAGCCTCTCCCGCAGGATGCCGTATCAAGGCTGATTGCAGCTGTACTCCTGCCACAGCAGCTGACGGGCAACCTTAAAATCTGCTCCGCGAGGTCCTTTAGTACACACACCATGGTAGACATAGTGACTAGAGGTCCACAATATCACCTTTCTTGTCTCCTTCCCTAATCTGAGACAGATTTGGGGGGAATTTCCCTACCAGCAGAATTCTCTACCAGCTGTTTACAGCCAGTATCCAGAACTGAGCAAATTGATTGAATCTGAGTTGAAATCCTAGCTTTTTCTCCACAACCTGTGACAAGATTAATCACAGCTCCTGAAACAGTAGTATCCTGACTTAGAAGGTCACCCAAAAGATTTAGATTTAAATGCCTGTAATCCAATACGTGGGCAAGGTCCTCGATCCTGCACTGGGATCCATTAACGTGGCTCATTACTTCACTGCATAGACCGAGGGACGTGATCCCATTGCTCCAGTCCTACATGTCGGTACCAATACTGGGAACCTTCGGGTACTGGTACTGGTAATCCAGAAAGAATGCTTACAGTTGAATTTTCTCAAATGTCCCCATTCTGAAAGATCACTTCAGTCTGGTCATGGTACATACTCACCTGTGTGTCAACAGCAACGAAAGGGAAAAATCGTGTTTTTCAAAATAGTTATTTCAGCTACAGAACAATACCAGCATAAGAACAAATAGGCTGGAAATTAAAAAAAGGTTTCCAGCCAGCAGAGAAGCCAAACTACTCAATGACACCCTTTAACAGTCGTGCCAAGCATAAGAAATGTCCAACACTATGTTGAAACAGTGCTTGAAAATTATGAATCGTGTCACGTTACAAAAATGTCATGATGTCCTGTGACAGTCAGTGACTGAATGCAGTTTTCCAAAAATACCCTTCTGTCCTGTGTACGTGAAGTCACAAGTGAATATTTACTAAAATATGTTTTAATTAAAATACGTATTTAAAGTATTATAATTCAAAGTTTTAATTTGCTTTAGAAAACTTTTTAAGTTTCGACAGAAGGCACCATAACATTTCTATCCAGAAAACAGTTTTAAATCTTTTATGGTAATGCTTTCAAATTTCTGCATAAAACTCTCAACTAAGTTTTTTTTTAAGAAACAAAACCAAACAAAAATAACCCACCATTTTTTTTCTTGGCCATTTGAGCTTCCTGTACTATAGATACTTAAGAACACATGAAAAATGTTTTCATGTAGCCCACAATTTTGAGGGAATCTGAGACAGAACAGATATGTCATAATCATGTTAGATGCACCATTGCCATCTGGTCCTATGTACTTCCACATACTCAGAATAACATCTTTATATTGAACCAGAAAACAGAAATAAACATTTGCCCCGCTGAAGCTTATTACAGTCAGTATGAATGAACCTAAATAATTACATTCCGCATGCACATTCATATCAGAGTTAGACTAGTAATGTTTATTTACAGCTATTTTTGCTACTAAACCCCTGTTTCTTAATGGAATGAAAGTGAAAGCTATGGTATTTTCCCGTTCTTACAGAAGAGGATTATTAGTGAATGCAATAACATAACCCTGAAATGAAAACCATACACTTTACTTTTATGAGGAGGGAAGGGCACTTTGAGTCAACCTCTTGTTCCTAATTCTACAGAAGTTTTAAGGCCATGGTTGTCTTAGTTTCCTGCTGTTCTGGGCTGTAAAGCCCTTACAGGCTCCCTGTTGTTCAAAAACAGCTTGTCACTGCAAATCAGCTTAGCCGACCAATTAATAAATCCTTTCAAACATATTGCATTCACACTAATTAAAGGGTTGGGGTTTTTTTCCCCTTTACCATTCAGATTCCTCAGGTTTCGAGTTTAAGCTGTGAAGTGCAAACAACAATCCAACATTCAGTGCAGATCACGCACTGCAGGAAGAGGAGATGTGTTTTCTGACCAAGCATCCAGCTCTTGGGGTGGTATGTTCTGCTTTCATATTCAGCGTGCTCATTGCTGAAGGACAGCCTGGGGAAAAGCATGGGCAGGATGGCAGCTATGCTCCCAGCCGAGGCTATCTGATGGAAGTTTTACGCGTTCTTTCAGCTGACAACACTGAGCTCCACATGAACCACTCACGAGAACTGGTCAAAATGTTACTGGAGAAAGCTGAGTGCCCACAGCGGATTTATGGCATGCAAGAGGATTGTAACCTGGTTAGTGCTTCAATTAATGAGGGATATCTTTACAGGATCGTCAGTGAGTTCTAAAATTACTTATTAGAGTGATACTCTCCCAAATACAAAACCTAAGCATGTAAAGGGCTTGTTGTTGCAGAAAAAAAAAAATGTCCCTGCTTTAAAATTTTCATTCTGAGTTATTAGTATTTATTGTTTGAGCTCATCAAGAGATATTCCAAACATGACGGGCATTCCATAAAAACTCTAGGCTTCATTCACCTAACACTAATAATTTTCCTTTAAAAGTTGTGAAGTGTTTATTTTCAAGCAAAGATTTTTCTACTTTATCCTGATCTAAGTATAAAAGCATGAGCTTGAATTTGGGACAGAGAGGATTTCCACTGTGGAAAGACAGAGGTAAAAATCTGGGACTGGTTCTGCC